TTTTTTAAAAAAAATATTATTATTGTCAGGCATCCCAAGGCTGGTGTAATCTCGCTTTCAAATGCCTTTTGGTCAGAGAGAATGACCATTGTATTATTTAGAGGACATTATCTCTTAAAGATGATAAATGGCAATAAAGAGCCGGAGTCTCCAATTTCAGTATACCATTATATTATAATGACAAGATATATTGGAAATAGGTTGAAATAGAAATAGCCATTGTAGTGGAATATGGTGTTGATTCCCAGAAGGGTGGGACTGCCTTCCAGAGGACCGATCTCTTTATTGGGAGAAAGAGAATGAAGAGTCTTTCTCCGAAGAGGTTCTCAGAGTATCTCTTTAATGATGCAAGCATTGCTGTAGTTTTGCAAGATAGTTCAAAGCCAACAAAGAAAACTTCTCTGGAGTAACTCTACATGTCTTTCTTGGTTTTAGGATCCTCACATTATTTTCATATATATAAATAGATTTATTAGATATTTCATAACTCTGTCAAAATATACACAAACAAAAATATATGCCTTGAAACTAAAGTCTATATAATCAAGCTAAAAAGGAAACAAAATAACCAGCACATATCCTCTCCATCAGCCCACACCCAGACAAGCAGGGATTAACACCAGACAAACCATCAAGCAGAGAACATTACCCTAATTAAGGAACTACTAAGGAGAAAACCACACCCCCACCAACATTGGTAGGGCAAGCCACTGTACATAAACAAGGAGCAAACCCCACATTCACTCTTACCCAGTCGGGTAATGAAACATCTGCAAGCAAACAACAAACCTTTAAGAGGACCAAGACCTTCTCAGTTCAACTCTGATCTACACATATTTTTTTCTATTAGGATCTTTGTATTGAATCATTTGGCATGATTAAGCTTGGAGATGATGTAAGTTAGTGTGCATTTAAGCAGTTTGCGTCAAGATTAGCACAGCATAAAACTACAAACTGCAATTGAAAAACAACAGGGAAATAATCGAAAATTATCAGAGAGATAACCGGTTAATATATGAAGGATATAAAAACAGGCAAACAATACGAGCATAAGCAAGGATATATACACTATATATGCAAGTGAACAGCCCTGTGTCCTACAGATGGCATGCATCCCTATCTTATTTTATGGCTTGGAATTTCTGGAATATGGGAGGAAGAATTATTTTAAAGGTTTGGGGGAAGTTAAGGTGCAATCTAATGTATAAAGCCCTTAAACCTTACAATCTTCCCAATTGGGATAATTATATATTGCTGCTTAATCCCGCCATCTAAAAAAAAAGTACTTGGAGTTTGCAAACTCCGATGATGTTCTGACATCATTTCTCATATTCTCAGCAGCTTCTGGTTGTAAGAAAATGATGTGCCTTTATGCCGACTCGACAAGGAGTCTTAGAATATTATTTGTTTTCAGTAATGAGCTAGCTTTCATTCTCTATTACTTGGTTTATTAATGTATCCTATATTAAGTATGTCTATTTGCTATTTACCCAAACAATACTCATTTATGGACTGGCAGCAATGGCTAATTAAAAGGATCCATTTCCACTTTAAAGTAGTAGGACAAATATTATTTTGAGGCAATTAAAATAACATTATGGTTGAGGGAACTGTTCTGAAACAACTGAGGGATGGAATATCTGCCTAACCTATTGCAGATGACTCAAATTCTATTACTATATAGAGATCTGCTTTCCGTAGAAACATAAAGAAGCAACATTTCTGTAGCAACATTAAACCAGCCAAGCACCATGCAATGTGGATTTCCACTCAGTGGTAACTACCGTATCTATCTTCCTTCCATCCTTAATGGGCAATCTACTTGCTACTTGTATCCTCCAATCATTCTTCCTCAACTCCTGAAAATAATCCCTTCAATCTCTACAGGTTCCACTTTTTAAGCAAAAGAATGCTCTGGAGTTGTCCGGGAACTTATGTTTCGGAAAATAGAAAGGATCAAATAGACCAATAAGGCAATGAAAATGTGAGGTCAACTGAATTTGACCCTTGCTAACAGTTTGAAGTGGTTTGCTACTGTTCTCTTACAGGATTTCCCCCACCCCAGCTTCTCATTGTAATTGACTCTTTGGGGTTTCCTGCTAATTTCTGAACAAATCTGAACATAGGTCACATCAGTCAGGTCTGGCTAAATGCAGCTAAGGGCTCTGACAAACAAATGCTTCAGGCCATACCAGATTGGCTTGTTTCAAAGATCTTTTTTTTGTTTCTTTCCATTCTTCTCTGTCTTGCTGAGTAACAAATATGCAGGAATAAAGTCAATTAGTTCTTAATTTTTGTTCCTCCCTGACTCTGTGGTGGCTTTAAAGACTAATGAGACAGATCTTTCCATTGTAATAGGAGCAAAGAAACTGCCTTATTTTGGAAGAGACTTTGTGTCTCATAGACAGGCTTAATGCTAACGATTTACTTCTCTACATTTTACTGCTTGGTCTGATATACATCTCAACACTCTTTAATCTTCATTAACATTGCCTGCTGGTTTTAAGAATTAAATCTCGGTGCTGATGCAGAACAATGAGTAACCCTTGGGTTTGTTAATGTCGCTGTTCATAGTCAAGTAAACTTTATACGTAGCTCCAAAAAGGTGAGCTGGTTCTGCAAGACTTAGAGAATTTGTACGTGTAAAATAGTATGTATAAAATACTATTTTGCTATTTTCAGTGGTATTCAGTGGCCCATTGAAGTTTTGTAGAGTTGGAAAGCAGTAAAAATGCAGAATTCAGAACAATCTTAGACCTTTGTAATATTGGCCTTTTAAAATGAAATTCCGAATTAGAAAACATAATAGTTGATCCCATTAACAAATGGCTCTTTCAATAGAACATATTAATGCTTTAGCTGATCATTGTCCCTGAAAATAGCTCACCAGGGTCTCTGGAGATTATAGGCATAAACTATAAACCCTCATGAAAAGATAATGACATCTATTCTGTGACATCACAATGCAAACTCCAGACATTCATTTATTGTATGCAAAACCCTACATCATTGGGTTTGCATTGTAACACTATATTTCATGTTTTGTCATTTGTCCCCTCCTTTTGTTACAGGTTGATGGCATTTGTGTAAGCCACACGTATATCCCTTAAGATTTTTTGTATTAGCCTGCTCTGAGTTAAGGAATTGTTTATTCGGGAAACTGGATCTGGGATCCTCTTTCCAAATAGATGATTAACGCTTTCAAAACTAGCCATGCCTATCATTCTTTAGAGTTTAGACTATAATCCTTGAACCCAACCAAATGCATGGGAATGACCCATGTGGTCCCAGCTCATCACTGCAGCTTTTCAAAACAACCAATCCTATTCTTATGCAATTTCTAAAATGAATTAGGTAATTTTACTCTATAATGTGCTGATTCTGTGACCTAATGACTAAGCTGATGGGTAGTATAATGGTTTAGTGCATCTATCCAAAGAAATAAGCACATGATACGCTGATGGGTTATATTGACCAGTACTTTTTATTAGGACAAAAGAAATTAATTTTATAAACTCAGGAGATTGCCTTGTAAATTATCAGATTTTATAAAGTTTGTACAAAATTTCTTGATTAATTTGGAAAATAGTGCACATAATTATGAAAAGTGTAGACCATATACAATAATTTCTTTTCAAGTTTTCAAATGAATAAAACCATTCCTTGCAATACAGGATTTACTTAGGTGAGCTAAAGAGAACACAAACCAAAACCTTCTTAGAAATATTATCTATTTTCTAGAATAGAGAAAGTTAAACCTCTTGCAGCCAATGGCCATGACCACACAGCAATGATAGGACATCAGAGTAGATTTTTGCAATCACTACCCTATAGGGCATATCAGACATTAATAAACCTGTTCATTTGGTTGCAGATTTCTGACATTTACAGTACTTGGATTTTTTTCCTGCAGAAAATCATAAAATTATGCCCTCATTATTTATCGGTTTGTAGATAAATTTTGGTGCTACTGCTAGGGGTGTAAGGGCCCAAAGCTCCCTCCACCAAAAAAGAACGAGATATAGAGGGCCCTCTTCTGCTCTAGAAAATTTCTGGGTTTAGGATTACTGCCCTGACTGTTCATTCCACCAATAGATGACAATCTGTGTTGGCATTTCACTTTCATTTTCAATTTTTCGTTCATTTAAAAAAAAAATCTTTCGTTTTGCTTTTTGGTTTTATTAAACTATGTGACTTTCAATCCATTTCATTGCCTTTTTGTTTGCTATTTCAAGCGCTTTCAGTTGGAAAGAATGCCCACAAGTTTTACAGATGAAAAATAAACTGATGCACAAATTTTGGTGAAGACTAAGTTAAACTACAACAATGAACTATGTCCGGGGTCTCATTTAAGATAATCCGATGAGTTGGCCCCAGCTTCTTTCATTTGTCAGACAGTGGAGCATGAAAGAGAATTTTTTTAGAAACCAGAATTAATCCTTCCTTCCATGGCAGATAAAGTTTGCTTTTCAATTCGCTACCTGGTGAGCAAAACCACATCCTTAGAGTGCCTACTCTTAAGTTAAGTTTACTTTATTGTCATTGCACCTCGTACAACGAAATCAAATGCCATCTTCAGTGTGCATTATAACTATAAAAATAAAACACAAATACATATCCTTCACATTCTATACAATTGAACTGAAGATCCAATCTTGCATTAGTATGGCCCTATGCAGTAGAATTCAATATAGTTACTACCCTGGAATGGAAGCTATTTTTCAGCCTATTTGTCCTTGTTTTTATTATCCTGTACTGTCTGCCAAGCGGTAATAGTTAAAAAAAAGGGGTGCCCAGGATGAGTTGGATCTTTAAGAATGTTTTGAACTTCCTTAAGGCAGCGGGACCTATAAAGCTCTTCCAAGAAGGGGAGAAGGCAACCAATTAAGTCTATTGTTTGTTCACTTACCTTTTCCTTCTGAGCGGCATGCAACAGAGATAATGGGAAAAAAAGAAAGAACAAAATATTGAAATAAAAGGAAAAAAAATAATGCATTTACCTGGTCTGGTGTATTATATGGGGCTTCTAATTTCTCTTGGTGCTTTGCAGTCACGCAAGGGTTGCTAGAACTGATGAGGACAGGAGGACTGATATCCAAAGTCTGCCTTCCTGTAGGTGAATGGACCATCCTGTTGAGGGTGTTTAGGGCAGTTGTAATAGAGAACTGTCTCATGGTCTTCCTTCTAGATTCAGATCCTTTGCAGAAAGTGGGTGACTCTGCACCTTTGGATCTAGGTAAGAACCTTTGTAAAGGTGAAGCACATTTCTGGGGAGAAGACTGGTAACTTTTGCTCCTCTGAAGAAGTTGCTGGGCTGTTGTATTTGGCTGGAAAAGAAACAGGAGGGAGAAAAGAAATGTTGTCAGGCCTGGAAGCCATTTTTTTTTGCATTGGGCCTTCCTGCCTGCCATATTTAATGCTGTGGGAAAATGGGAGGGTGGGGGGTTATATGGAGTGTGGGAGATATATAGTCAACATTCCTTTCTCAAAGAATCAAGGACATCTTGCCCTGCACACCTGGAGGGGTATGACTGGGAGGTATCTCCAGTTGGGACGGTGCTTTGATTGGACCATGTGATGGACATGTGGGTACTGGGCAGGGACTTGAACTTTGATTTGGGTGGAGAAAATCTGGAAGCTTTCAGATTTGGGTTATCCTAGATTTGCCCATATGACATCTCTAATAAAATGGAACTTTGAGGAACTTCAAGCCTTGGAGTCTTCTTTCATCAGGGGTGTTATTTGGAACACTGACAGATGTGACTTTGTTGATAGCAATCCAAAGATTTTAAATTGCAGAACTGAAATTCCAGGAATGGCTTGAATAGATATATGTAGCAACATGCTAACTTGTGTGTGGAATTGCATTACTGACTGGGTCTACACACAGTGCTAAGTCATGACTTATTTAACAATCTTATTGATGTTTTACCCAATAGGCAAAGGCATTCAACTCTCTAGTGATGCTGAGTGGTGTACAATATTTCAAAAAACTGAATTAACAGTAATAGTAAAAGGAGGATAGTGAAACACTCAGAAAGAATAAAACTAATACCTTCTTAATGTATAGCATTCTCAGAAAGTGCCACCATACAATTTAATCCAGAGTTTTTGAGGGCTAGTTTGAATGAGGCCAAGGGGAGGGGACATACAAATGGGTGTGTGTCTGTTGCTGTTTCATAGAACATGACCTGTGACAGAGAAAGATCACATTCTAAGTTCCATTAGGTGGCAGACTATGGGACCTGAAACATAGCAATTCTGTTGAAATGAACAGGACAGGCAGAAATGTAGGAGACAGAGAGTTTCTTGATAATGAGCTCTTATGACCTGAAGCACCTTGAAATGTACCTGATGACCACTATAGTCATACAACAGAAATCGGTACATGGGTATACCATCACATGCTTATGGTGGACCAGCTGCAGCTTCTGAATGCCTTTTAAAGGTAGCCTGACACTGTATGGAGAGCTTCTGAGTCCAGAAACAGGCAATTGTGGGAAAGATAAATCAGTGTGAAGGCCTTCCTGCCTACTACTACCTATGGTTCATCAGCAGCTGTAAGTTTAGGAAAACTCCCAAATGGTGCATTAACTTTGAATGGCGACATGGAAGCCCTTTGAGAATTGAAGATAGCAAAGTTCTGTGCAATGCTAAGATCTCATTAGTGGTGAGCTTCAGTCTGTCTACATATACACATTTAAAACACACACACACACACACACTTGCTCTCCCTCTCTCTCCCTCCCTCCGTCCCTCTCTCTCTCTGATGAGTCCATTATTTCCAGCCTTAGCTCCTTTAGTAACCTTGGCTATACACAGCATATATTCTAAACCAGGCATGTCAAACTGGTGGCCTGCGGGCCGGATGCATCATCTGCAGGCCATGCCCACCCCAGCTTTGCAAAGGGGGAAAATGTTGCTATGTCATGTGACGGCAACGTGATATCAGAAGTTTGACACCCATGCGCTAAACCTTTAAAGGGAAGATTATTTTGTTCCACTTACAACTTCCAATTCCTGACTAGTGAGGCTTTCGATTGTTCTTAAATTCCTGGTGTCTGTCAATTGATGGGTATGTTAGCTTGCTTTAAACAACCATCTGATGGATTCCAAGGACAGCTTTTTCTCTTCTCAAGACTGAAAGTGCAAGCCATGATCAAATGTGCTGACAAGGAACATTCTGTGAGATTGTGTGGTGTGGGTGTACATTCATAGAATGTTCAATAAATGGTTCTTACCTCCACAAACAAGATAGGAAAAATTCCTGTTCTGTCACCCAACTTTCCTTCTGCCCAATTCTCATCCATTCGACTGATCATAGTGATTATATCACCCTGAAAGATAATAATCATAGATACTAACCAGGGTAGTTGCTTGATAGCATAATTCTAACATATATACATAAAGTGAAAGAATATTTGAGCATTTCAACACATCACATGCCTCAATATTTTATCATAAACAAGACAGATTTGGGGGTGGGGGAGGTGAAGGTTCATTCTCCAAGCTTGTGGGTTGGTTTCTGAACATTTTGTTACCTGGTTAGGTAACATCTTCAGCAGAGTTTTGGGGATGTCACTGACAGAGTTCCTCTGTTTATAAGGGCTTCAGGTGTGAGTGTGTCAAGTGAGGGTCTTGTGATGGGTTAGGTGTGAGTCATCAGTGGGAATCTTATTATGGGTCTGGTGCTGTCTCTGGTTGGCTATGCAGTTGATTTGGATTTTGAGGGGTTTATAGATAGATTTAGCTGTCAGCTGAATGAATGGAAAATGAATTCAAGGAAAGATGGTGATCGAGAAGCTACTTGGATGTGAGTAAAAAGATTGTGGTATAGAGTGCTGTAGAAGTATGTGGAGTTATTTTATGGGAAACAGGACAAAGGTTGCATGGTTATGTTGAAGTAAAAGAGAATGATTAATATGATTAATGAAAAATGAGAATAAAGGAAAGATATCGCACACACACACAAAGATAGACAAACAGAGAGAATGTAATCAGGGGAAAAAAAGGAATAGTTAAGATTCAAAGATGCAGAGAAAATGTACAATGATTCTGATGAAAATTAAAACAAATATTTTTGAAATGTGAGAAGTCTAAACCAAGAGGTTTATCAGAAGGTAAGGAAAAAGTGATGAAATGGTTTGTGACGAAGCTGAAATGAGATGAATACCGGAAAGACTATTGTAGAAATTTGTATGGGGTCAATTTATATATTGAAAGGGTAGAACTGAAATAAATGAAATCCATGTTAATATTTCAGACAAAAATATACAGATACCACGTTTCCCTGAAAATAAGACAGGGTCTTATTTTCTTTTGACTCCCGAAATAAGCACTTGGCCTTATTTTCAGGGAGGTCTTATTATTTTTGAGGTGCAGGAAGCGGCGAGCATGGTCACCTCACGGCTGCTGCTCTGTTGCAATATTTTCAGGGAGAGCTTATTTTTGGGAGAGGTCTTATTTTAATGCATGCACTCAAAAACCCGATTGGGCTTATTATCTGGGGAGGTCTTATTTTCAGGGGAAACAGGGTAGTCTTCCACATATGACCACAATTGAGCCCAAAATTTATGTAGCTAAGCAAGACATTTGTTGAGTGAGTATTTCCTTATTTTACAAACCTCCTTGCCATATTGTTAAGCAGATCACTGCAATTAAGTTAGTAACATGGGTTGTTAAATGAATCTGGCTTCCTCATTGACTTTGCTTGTCAGAAGGTTGCATAGGTGACCACAAGATCTGGTGACACTGCACAACGGTGCTAAATATGAGTCAGTTGCTGAGCGTCTGAATTTTGATGACGTGAGCCTGGGGATGCTGCCACAGTCGTAAGTATGGAAAATGGATATAAATCATCATTGAGTGCCATTTTTTTCAGTGGCATTGTAACTTTGTAACTAAATGAACTGTTGCAAGTCGAGGACGATCTGTATTGTGAGGAGTGAAAAAAATGTAAGGCTGCAGGTAGAAATAGCGTAACTGGAATACGCTAAAATGCAGATAGAGTTTGCTTGTGGCATAGATGTGTGATCTATTTAATGTGCATGTGAAGACTGTATCTTCTGAAAATTGATAGTATGGCAATATTTTTTTGCTCATAAACCTTGGCAGTGGCAGGGCAAACCACTTTTCATTGCCTACTAGCCTGTCCTCAGCCTTAAGAGGCGGTAATACATTTCCTCCTTTGGCTCAAATGACAAGAGCATTACATGAAACCCCCAAATCCCAGCATTCTAAGGGAGGTATAGAAAAGCAGATGCACTTTGTCTCCAGCAACATTTTTGAAAAGGAAAAGACCCCAAACCAGATGGCATGCAATCCAGGCCATGTTTGCAGTGAGCAAAATAAATGGCCTCTCTCTGTGATTCCTCATTTGTGCCTGCAGTGATGTAGAAAGACTTTTTAAAAAAGTACTTATATTGAGGAAATGAGCAGCAGCAGATGCGGCAGTGAAAGCTGGCACTCACAGCTGGCTCTTCCATGTCTCAGGCAATGATCGCAACTGGATGTTCAGAACCATTTTCCTGTATTTCTCTCATAAACCAGCTCCACTGTAATCTCAAGGCAGTAATTCAGGAACATGCTTAAATGTAGCCTGGTCTCATTATTCACTTTGCCCCCCCTCCCTCATCCCCTATATCTGAAATTGCTCCGCCTTTCTTTTTGGGCACATTGTTATTGTACCTTGCAATGTGCATCTTTTGTCAGCTCTCTGATGAGAAAAAAAGAGCCATGCTTAGGTGGCCATGTTATTTTATGCTTACTATGAGCAATGAAACAACAGAGATATTTACAGGATAAATATAGTTTGCTTTAGGAATTGAGGATTCTACCATGTCTAGGTATTCTGTTTTTTTCCACTGGCAATTGATAGCATCTTCTAGCATAACCCAACCATGACTTTGGCAATAAAAAGCCTGCCTTCATTACTGTTCTATCAGCACAGAGATGGTTGGATGGTACTACAAGATGCTAGAAATCAGTAGCATCTGTTTTCTGATGAATGCAGTAAACCATTTCCCTTCGAAGTTTCATTCGACACATTGCTTGCAAGTCTCTTAAATTCCCTGTGCTGAAACTTATACTATTATTGTATATTATCAACATGAAATCTACCCAGGCTATGATATTACAAAGTTGAATCTAATGTGGTAAATATAAATTGCTGGCAAGGAGCAGTTGGCTACAGTTATGGTTATATTTAATTGTTTAGATTGGAAGGGAATGGCATTTTGATATACAGAGAGGCAGTCATGTCATTCATTTGCATCACAAAGTTGGCCAGTGGGCTGCTGCAGGATGACAATCAGCATTTCTGCACCAGCAATTTATAGTGTCATCCAACCACTGCTGTGGCAATCTATCACAGATGCAGACAGGTTTCATCTCACCACAGCAATAGTTGGGTGGCACAATAAATCACCAGTGTGAATAGTTTATTGTTCCTGTCTCTGTAAACTGGTTTGCCAAATGTAGTAGAATCTGTTTACCAATCTCTGTAAGAAATATAGAAGGGAAAAAGTAGAGTGTTTAGAATTAACACTCGAATTAGAAACTAGAGTTAACAAACTACAGCTTAAGAAAACTATTCCAAGAATGAAGAGATGAATATAACACATTGGGGACCTGATGATGGTGGTAGTTATATGAGAAGAAGAAATCATCTTAAGATTTGAGAGCTTTCAGGAAGGAAATTTGCTTGGGTCCCTTCTTAGTTAATGAGAGAAAACAATAGCAAAATATCAGGGGTGGACTCCGGATTCTTTTACTGCTGGTTTGCTCAGGGATGCACTTCGGCATGCGCGTGCTTGATGCAGACTATGTGCGCATGCACAGAAGCAAAAAAACAAGATGGCAGCACCTATGGCGCCGCTGATAGAACCAGTTCGGGGCCGTGGGTGGCCGAGTTACTATCTACTTGGCTGAACCGGTCTGAACCAGTAGGAACCCACCTCTGCAAAATATACTATATTTCCCCACATATCCCAATAGAAGCATGGAACTAGCACTCAGTTCCTACTGCCTACTGATGCCTGATCAAAGAAGAAAGAACCCAGATAGCAGGAGTGGATAGAACTGTGACACATAAAGGTGGTAGGTCTATTGAAGAGATTTGTTTGGTGGTTCACCCCTGTGGAGGAAAATACTCAACTGACAAAATTGTTTTATTGTATTCTCTCCTACTTTGGGTTTACTTGAAATGAAAAGTGAACTTTGTTTCAAAATAAATAAATACTTAAATAGAGACACGGTTACCAAAAATGTAGCTCACCATTACTGTACACCAGGGGTGTCAAACTTGATTTAATTGAGTTCAAACACAATCAGGGTTGTGTTTGACCTTGGGAGGCTGGGATAGGTGTGGCCAGCTCAATGTCACTTGTGTTGAGGGAGCCTGTGGTGACCTGAGTGCTCTGCCAGCAAAAATGGGCTCCCAATCTTCATTTTCTGCTGGGAGGGCCTTCTGCAATTCTCTGCCAGTGAAAACAGCACTCAGGAGAGCTGCCCTCCCAAGCTCTGTTTTCATTGGCAGAGTGTTGCAGG